GGTGCTTCTGAGCTGAGGTGCGGTTGGCGCGAACATCCGCGCGGCGTTGTTTAATTTATACCACGAGCAGCTGGACAAGTTCAAGGCAGGGGCGAAGCCAGATCTGGCTTTCAGGAACATGTGTTGGATCACAGGGTTTTCAGGTCACCTGCCGGAGGGGCCAAATGATGTCCACCACTTAGCTAATCTCTAAAAAAGGGGGGTTCGTGAAAAGAAAAGAGAGCAATGAGAGCAACGCACGTCGACGTGTGATTAGCAGTTAGCTAATCCCTTGGTGGCCAACATAGATCGAGGCCGATCGAGGCCGTTCGGTCGGGGCCATTCCCTTTCCAGAAGACAAACGCGTCCAGAGAGTCGGAAAAAAGGCCCTTCTTCTGTTTTGGCAAAAAGAGATGATTCAACATGATCTGTCCACATTAGATGTATACCAAATAGACCCATTTGATCTGCCAAAACATAGGTCAAAATCAAACCACTGCGCCCTGTCCGACCGTTCGATCCATTTTCCATCACCGTTCGATCTGAATGAAACCGGTAGCTTGGCCTCGTGTGTTTGTGAAAACAAAAGACATCCGGCACAGCGGCGTGGCCGGGCATCTCTGTACTCATTGGGTGCCTGTTTTTTCAATGGAAGAACTGATTAAACAAGTTCGGAGATCACGGGTCTTTGGGTGTGACAATACCAAGGTCCGCGATGGTGACCAGACCTCTTTCTTCACTTTGACTCGATTCAGGGCCTCGACTGGCGCTCGAGTCCATGTTACTTCGGTTTGTTTTCCATGTTCCAAATTAAAGCAAGAAGATCCCCTAAACGGCCACACTTGCCCGCGGGATCAACGGCCACGGCCAAGAAGCTGAATAGGAGCTCCACGCCTCTCGGACCGCGGTGTGTCCCCGCCCCAAAAAAGGCACTCTACGGTCTTAACGAATTGCACCTCCAGGACGGCCACCAAAATAGGACATTTTCGGTGTTCCGCAACCGTTTGGTGACCCAAACCCTTCTCCGAGAGGTTTTGACCATTCGAAGTTCTCGTCGAAGAGCTCCGTGGAACCAAAAAGCCAACAGCTCGTCGAACGACGAAGCGAACATCGCGAAGAAAGAGGAAGAAAGAAGAAGAAAGAGGAGTTCTGCAGATCCTTTTTTTGTTGGGTGCCAGTGAGGTTCCATGTCGCAGATCAATGGACAAGAGGATAAAAGTCAAGCAACATGCAACATCATGAAGAAACTGAACGCTTAAATGAAGCGAGACGCCAAAATGCCATCGCAAAAGAACGTCGGACAGCTGCAGGATGGGACTCCACGCTCTTGCGCATCAATCATGAGTCCTACCTCCCGACCTTACACCCAGCAGTCTGTGTCCCGCCCTCTTTGCAGGTCGGCCTGGTCCGCCAAAACTGGATAACAACCAGACTGGACAACGACCAGGTTGTCATATATGACATCGAATCCACAGTGTTGGTTCCACATCATGCACAACTTTGGGTTCTTGTTTCCCGGCCGTTGTGCTGCTTTCAACTCATCATATGATAGCCACCTTGAATGTCCAGACCATTTACCACACCTGGTGCCAGCCTGTTGACTACAGCGGCCTGGCTGGCCTTCTCTCATCTTCTCCAAGCTTCGCCGGCCCATTCCTCTGACGCCGTCGGCTCCAGCCACCCGCTCCGCTCCCCAGATGTGCTGTGCTGTTCCGTCGCGAGCGCAGCGGGGCTCGGCAGGTGACGCTTCACAACGTGGGCTGGGACGGCGTGGCCAAGAATTCCATCTGCACGTCCAACGCGCCGTGCCCGAACGTGATCCTGCCGCTGGATGAGATTTAGAGCGAGGATAGAGTTCGAACGCACACGGACTCTTGAGCGCGAAGAGTTCGAAGGTTTCTCTATGGTGTTCTGGCTCTGTTGAACAGATAGCCATTTAGTGTTCTTGGCGCTAAAAAGCCATCATTGTCTGTGTCTGTGTTTCTAGATTGTTATGTTGTTTTTCTTGAACAGAGTTGGGATCGGCGACGTTTGAGGTTCGAGGTTTGGACACCCGAACGAGGTTCGTCCCCAGGTTTAACCCCACAGTTTCAATGCTTGGAGATCTTGCATCTGCCTTGCACATCCTTGGGATGAGAATCTTCGAACGCCCCCTCATTGCTTCAAAGATCCATCACCAGAAACTTCCATGGTCAAATAAGACTTTGAACCAACAGATATGACAGACTGGGATGGTGGAACACCTGCCCAGTAAACCACCTGCGCCGGCATTGATGAATGGGTGCAGCATGGGAAATCCCATGTGCTTTGATCCATTTCCAAATGCCAGCTGGTAGAGCTGTTTCGTTGATCCGTGTCTATTTGGCCCGTTTGGCCCACAAGTCTAGACTGCATGGTGGTCGTTTTCTGAAACTCCGGCTGAAAAATAACTGAAGTTTGGTTTTCCTCTCGTCATCCACCCACCCAACCACCCAACCATCCTCCATCTCATCCTCCGCTTCGTCCGAACCTGCAGGTTGGGCTCCAGTCAGCTCTCTGAGCGCGTGCCTCGGCCCGTTCAGTTCAGCAAAAAACGTCCGGAGTTTTCGACGTCTTGTGTTGCATTCAGAAGGAAGTACATCGCGTTTTTTTGGTATACAACAAGTTTTGGAGTCTTCAAGAAGCCACTTTGCGAGTCTTCCAATTCAACGAACAGTTGCGGGCCTTCACAGTTCCTTCTCCCAGTTGGGCGACGCCGGGACTCGGACAGGGAGATGGTCCCACCTTTCAGGTGTTCCAAAGGCATCCAAAGGCGTCGCGCCGGACGCACGAAGTTCGGACGAAGGAGTTAAACCCCGGTCGAGGTGCCAATGAGCAACTCCAGTTTTTCTGTTGATGTTTCAGCTTAAGCTGAAGCATGAACAAGCTGAGATCTTAGATTCTCCTTTGGTTGCTTTGGCTTCTAAAGATCAGGACCTCTTCTTTTTGCGAAGAAAACGATCCATCCCTGACTGAGCCCCAATTCCGGGAACGAGAAACACCCTGTGGAAAAGACCACTCCTCAGGGCGGGTTTGTTTCTTTCGGAGCAAAACAGACACGTTCTCAAACCGTGGGGTAGTTGTCCGAGAACTCCTTCAGCACTTGCCCAGACCTGGTCCCCGACCTCGCACGACTCCGCGCCGCACTCGGAAGTCCTCGCTCTCACTCCGAGACCAACCGCGGCTCCGCGCTCGGGGGAAGTGGTGGTTCTTTCAGGTGGTCGCCGACCGCGTGAAGCCCTTGAACCATTTCATGGAAGAGTACCTGAGGGCCAACCTCGCGCGGATGCAAGACGACCCCCGGCGCGGCCGAAGGGCGAAGCGGGGTCCGGGTTGGGAGCGATGGGAAGGTCGGGAAGAGGAGCTTCCGGAGGTCTGAGGTGTGGGGTTTCGGCGGAGCAAAGCGATCTTCCGCAGAGGCGGCATGTTTTGCCTGAGTCAGTCGAACTCGTGATCTGGAGATGTTGAGTTTGTGATGCTTCCCCCCGAAGCTCCGGGAGGTTTGGGGTCAAGAACGCCACCTGTTTTCGCGTTCGTTTGCTTCCTGTAACTCTCCCTCAAAAACGTGCGAAGGCCCAGAGAAAGGATCCCATGAATGGATGGCTCGTCCTGGTCCTGCTGGACGGTTTGTGCTCAGGACTTTCCGGGAGTGTCCTACTACCAGTACTTCTATGAAGCGAAATGGATGGGCATCCCTTTCCTGCCCGCAGCCTCGGAGCCATACAGTTCGGAGCCATATTGACCGGTCCTAAGGGCTGATTAGTAGGTGGCTCGATACAGTCCGGGAATGACTTCTGGACTTCAGTCGGTGGACCCGGCCTTTCATCTGGGACTTCCAGTCGGACAGGACGTCACTTGGGGTCGGTGCGCGCCCGATCGTCACTTCGTTCGGCTCCCCTGCACGGCTCAGTCGGTGGACCTTTCCTCTCGGGGCTCCAAAAAGCCGCTCCGAAGCGGACGTGGAACGAGATCTGGGTTCGGGGTTCGGTTTTGGGCGAAACAGGGTAGACGCGACCCTGGGCCCTCATATGGAGGGGTCGGACCCTCATATGAAAGGGTCTGGGGTCTCAAATCCCTACGTTTTGAGGGACCAAGGGCTGTGAACGGAGCGTCTGGGTGCAGTCACTCCTGTTGCCAAAGCTGGGACCAGGACCAAGTGGGAGCCTTGGTCCGGGTCGTAGCCATCGTAGCCGCCGGAGGTCCGACGTGAGGCTGATTGCCTTCAACAAGACCACCCTGCCACCTGGTGGTGTTTCGGTGGGCCTGTGAACGGTCGAACCCAATTCAGCAGCAACATTCATGGGAAAAACTGGGCGATGGATTTGCCCAGACGCGACCCTGGGCCCTCATATGGAGGGGTCGGACCCTCATATGGAAGGGTCTGGAGTCTCAAATCCCTACGTTTTCAGGGACCAAGGGCTGTGAACGGAGCGTCTGGGTGGGACTTTTTTGGGGGTGCTGCTGAAAAGTCGTCCCAACTCGGCATTCTTCAAAAAGAAGACAATCAAACCGTATCAAACCCTTTTTTTTTCGTCGCCAATTTTTGAACTTTCCACCAATGGGAAACTCTTAGTATGAGAATATGTCTTTAAGATTCTTTAAGTGACTCACAACAGTCGCGTTTTCAAAGTTGTCAGAAGATTCGCTGAACTTTCGATAGCTATTGGTTGTGAGTCACTCATTCTCATGGCAAATCCTATCAAATCCCCCTTCTTTGGTCCTTTCCGCAGCAGTTGTGGGTTTCTCTAAGACAAGGGAACCCGAGCGGTCTGATGATTCAAATTGGCATCTTCCAAGAAGAATCTAATGACCTGATGATCAAACATGCATGTTCTGGATTTTCCCGAACATCTCCTGGCTTGCACCCCTTTGTTGCACCGTCTTCGATCTCCCGCTGCAAGCCATTTGGGCCAACCAAAAAAGGCGCCAACGGTCTCAGTCTCGGCCAACCAGAAGGGCGGGGACCGATGTACGATGTCGCTCGGTCGGTCGGCGTTGCTCAGGTTCAATCTGAACATCTCATTTCCACCTCCCTACAACACGCGGCGCCAGGTCGGGACGTCGACCCGGTCTATGACCGGACCGGTCGGTTTTTTGGTGCGTTCGACCGACGTCGGTGGAACAGCAACTGAGAAACCGACGTCTCAAGCTTTCTTCTTTCTGTTTTTGAATGGTTGAGGCATGTTGAGGCATTCAGGCTGCGACAGACTTGGATTCCAAGTAGTGCGACAGACTTGGACCCTAGGCCAGTCTAGGCTTGGCCTTTCTTGATCCGTCCGACCCAGAAACGGTGCCGTTCCGTTCGCCGCCGCTGGGCAAGGGGTTGGCCGAGGTGAATTCGGAGACGGGCCGTTTTACTGATTTCCATGACCTCCGTTTTACTGCTCTTCGTCTTCGTTTTGGGTGGCACGAAGTCTGAACTGGGCCGCTGTCCTAATCGGTTTCCGCTTTTTTTTCGCGGGAGGCCCGGTGAATCGATTTCGGTGGATCCTTTGAGCCCACGCGGCCCTCCAAACCTTGGTGGCTCTCTCTCTCTCTCTCTGTTGGTCCGCCTCTGCCTTGGGAAAGCCCCATTTCACCGCCCCAAAAAGCATCAAAAAGCTCACGTCTCCCAACGACCACCGTGGCGCACCGAGTGCCGGCCTTACGGGGCGGTCCGGCCAGGAGTGGACGTGGCAAGACTTGTTGGACGATGCCTGCGAGGCCACCGAGCGCCTGAACGGCACCGCAGGCCCACCGTCGCGCCTGGTCGCGCCGGCACCAGAACGCCGGTCCCGGTGGGGGGGGGGGACACCGCCGAAACAGATCATGAGGTCTTTTCTTCAGTAGTTTTGACATGTTTTGAAGCAAGGCCACCACTCATGAATCCATGGAATCCATAACGCCGAACCATCGTAGGCTACATCTGCTGAGTACGCGTGCGGATCTGTGGGTCGATCAGTTCCAGACAGTTGGCAGGCCGATCCGCGAACCATTTACAGACAGCATCAACCGATCCGCTGGAGAAATGGAGTTGAGCTTCGGTGGCTCCCTGCCTGCAGCCCCCCAATGTGTTGATGTCATGTTTGCCCAAGCGATTCTTGAACCAGTCTTGCCAAGCATCCTACTGTACCTTGAGGCAAAATGGTTGAGGCGCGTGCATTTGCATTCGTCTAGTTACTATGGTGACTTGAGGAGCTTCTCTTTTTGGCGCTTCCGCTTCCTCTCTGTCCTCGCTCGTGCGTGGGGCCGGCCCGGAACATTCCCCCCCTTCCATCGCCGCCGAGAGGCTTGTTGGCCAACTCCGACTTCGACGAAGACTTCAAGTTCTTCACGCCCCTCGACTTCGACGCCGCGCTTCACGACCGGGCGAGCGCGGTTCGTCCGGGGCGAACGCGGTTCCGGCTGTTGTGTGGCGTGCGAGGTCTTTTGTGGAGGTGTCGGTCCCACACTTGGTCGTCGTCTTCGTCACCTTAGGGTACTCTGCTTAACGCGCATAGGATAGGTACGCCGCGTACGCCCCGGAACGGAACTCTTGTGTCCCCCCCAATTGGGTGATGTAAACGTTTGACAGTCACCTGGCATTTGAACGATCCAGAGTTTGACAAGACGGTCACCCAAAATTTGGAACCAACTTCTCACGCGGATCCACCTCGAAAATAGGCAGTGAGGTGTGGAGGTGTCAGGCAGTCAGTGAGTCGCGAGGGGTGTCGTCCGCTCGGCATGAGGAGTTGAAGGGTGGGCAGAAAGTCCGACACCGCTGACGTCTTCGGTTGATCTGAGACCCGCCTGATACGCAGTCGACAGACCGGCTTCGTCCAGGAAACCACCGCGTCACCGAAGCGTTGGAACATGTTGGAACATGTTGGAACTTCCCTTCTCCTCGGATCACCGGCCATCGCCGCCTGAGCATGTTTGGCCCACAAAAAAGTGGAGAATGAACCTTTGACTTTGGGATTGGTTTCCCCCACTAGATATGAACCAACCTTCTTAGTTTCCAGGGAACCGGCTCGGGGACTCAGCTCAGATCCCCTCAGATCAAGCGGGCCCCCCCCGATCCGCCCCCGATCCGCCGAGATCCCCGCGCTGTGTTTAGGCTCATGGTCCAGTCGGGCGGCGGTTCGCTGTATCAGCAAGAAGGTGAAGGCGGGCCGGTGCTCGCCTCGTGATGCTCGACTCGTGATGCGAAGAAATGTCGAACATCAACGAAAACGCGGGGGTGTTGGTCACGTCTTACCTCAGAAGGTGGCGTTTGTGGATGGCACGGCGTTTTTTTTTGTTATTTTTTGCACGTCCACCTTGGAAGTTGATTTCGAGCAAATTCTTCCAGTCTTGTTGGATGGAACAGACACATGCCGCGCATCGGGCCACTGATGATGATCGATCGAGTGCCGGGAACGTCCAGACTTTTGTCCCTCAATAGTCAAGGGTGTGTGGTAAGCTACCGCGACCTGCTCGAGTCACGCGTGTGGGAAGCTCCATTCGTGACTCGCACAGGAACTCGGGGACATGTTCCCGGCTTACTCGGGCCCGATTTGGCTCGTCATGTCAATCTCCGTTCTTCTCGCAAGATCCATCGCCTTGGTTGGAAGCCAAAAGGAGGATGCCCCTTTTCTTCATGGTTTCTCTCATAGGTTCCATCACAGAGCCGTGCTGCCTTTCTGCACACCCTTTCGGCACCATCCACGGTGTTCGGCCGGGACGGGGGGCTTGGCTGGGTGTTTGGGACGGAGCCACGGAGGAGGAACGGGTCGAGTCAGCGCCTTGGCCATGAGACCACCATCCCCCCGGGGACTTGGATGGTTGGATAAGCATGGTTGTCAAGCTCTTCATATCTGGAATGGGAATGTGGGTCTTTTTGTTCTCCAGTGTCCTCCACACATCGGATGTGGATGGATGTGGTGTTTCTTCTGCTGCCTGCGCAAAGAGAGACAGGGAAGGGAGACCCTTGGTTGGAAGACGGTGCGAACCATCAGAATTAGCTGGTGCTGGCAGTGACGTTCCTCCTCCAACAGTCCAACAGTCTCTTCATGGTCTGTTCATGTCGACATCCTGCCATCCACCAAGATACATCATGGCATGGACGTGGAAAACCCACCTGTTTGCAGAGGACACTTGCTCATTGAAGGCCCAAGGCTTGGGCCCTTGGCCACTTCCGTGACCATTCCATTTCCGGATTTGGCGCCTCCGCAGAAGGACCTCGGACACCGTGTCCCGCCCGCCACCCCCCCACCACGAACGGTCGAAAGTTCGGGGCCCAAGCGGTCCGGCTTTTCCGAGAGACGGTCGGGGGACCCGACCGTCCGCATCCTCGGCGAGGCGACGATCAAAGCTTGAGGTGCAGCATCAACAGCCCCGTGGGAGTCAACGTCTTGAAGAACTTCTGGACCGGTCCGGTCCGTGCCGCGGTCCGGACGTCGGAACGCGAGTCGGATGGCGCTGGGTGGTTCGCTCCGACTCGCCGAGTCGGAGACAAGTCGGAAACCCAAAACGACCAACGGATAGACGAATACCCTAGGATTCAAACAACCATTGTTTTAATGGTCTTTACCAAAGAACCATTGTTTTACTAAGGATTTTTACACTACACCACCAGCTCAACCGTTCTTTTAATGGTCTTTGAAGGCTAGGGAATAGGTGGGTCTGTCCGTTCTTACCTGTAACAGTCAGTAGGCAAGCAATTCACCATTTTCGAACAAGGCCTTTGCCAACCAGGAAAAAATCCACTGCTACATACTGCTACTGGTAATAGGATAGAACCAAGATAAACTCATGGTTCGATTCTGGGGCCATGTGAAGCGCCTGTCAGGGAGCTAGACAAGACCTTTTTGGCAGCTGATCCATGTTTTGCAGCTGTTCACAACATCCCCAAACACATGGAAGTGGACAAACATGCACCCAGTGGAAGTTGGAACATAATCAACGGTGTCATTTCTTGACATCTGTTTCAGTCTTTCTTCAATGTTTGCTTGGTTGCAACGCCTGTTGGTATGGCCGAGGTTTTTTTGCGGTTGGTCTCACTCACGAGGTTTTGCGTGCTCAAACATCGTCCCGATGTATGTGCTGCATTGCCATGGAGTCAAGGATTGTCCGGAGTCCAGGGTGAAACCTTGTTTTGAGGGTGTGGAAAGCATTAAACCAATCTGCCAAACCAGATGCCTATTGTCCGAGAGGGTGAACCCCCGCGCCGCGCGCGGACCGGTGGGTGAGCTCGCTCACCGCCAACCGGACCGGTGTTTTCTCCGCGGAGCGGGGACCGGTGCGTCGACCGCAGGAAGCCCATCATCACTCGAAAGTGCATGATGGGCCACAACGGTGGACCCTTCTGGGCAGGCGTCTCCCCTCCGAGCCACTGGGCCGGTGGATCGGTGGGGGATCGGTGGGCGACGTGGGACGCGAAACGCGCCGGACAGGTTCCGGTGAAACGTCTCTCGTCCCGTTCCCGGTGCGTGCCGTTCCCGCCGCGTGCCGGCTGGCCGTTTGTGCTGGTGCCGGCTGGCCGTGCATCGAACTGAGGCGAGGCACTGAAGGACTTACTGCAGATGAAGTCCCTCAACGTGGTCCATCCACCGAACATGACCAGCCGCCCGCCATCGGATGGGGTGACGCCGGAAAGCCGAGCGACCGAGGAAAGCCGGCGCTTTGGTTGGACTGGGAGGAAGGAGGGCGGTTTGGCTCGTGGGTTGGCTCCGTGCGGAAGTAGCGTAGTGGGCCTTCGGCGCAGCTTGCGAGTCGGTTGTATTGTCCATGGCGTGAGTCAGATTTCTGTTTGGAGCAGAAGGTTTGCATGTGTGCAAAGTCAAACACTCCCCAAAGACTGTTCATGATGATTCAGCACCACCCAAAAAATAAGCTGTTGTTGGAAGGAACATACCATAGCCGCTGTGCTGTGTTGCTTTAGGAGGGCATCGCAGCACAAGTTGCATGAGATCTTGAAAGAAGACATTCACCAGGACCTTCCAACAGGTGGTTTTTGGACACCCCTTAACCTCTTAAGAGGCTGTGAATAGACACCTCAAACGGAAGGTGCTGGCAGAATATTAACCCGAGCCAAGAACACTCATTAATGGTCTTGTATGACCTAAGACAGGAGAAACGACTGCTGCAAGCCTGCGTGTGGCACCTCCAGCCAGTCGTTTCAGCTTCTGCCAGCTTTCAAGGCTCCTTGGGGCCACCGAGGTTTCTTCAAGTTAGCGGTGAGTCATCACCGTCGTTCTCATGGATCGGACACCACCGATGTCTCCCCATTTGAACGGCTCGGCACTTCGAGAAGTGCTGAAAAAGCCTTGTTGATTCTGGAAAGCTTTGCGAAGGTGATTTTCACCTATCGTGCTCACAATGCTTATATACCCTGCAAAGAAAAGTTTGAAACAGAAGACCCCATCCAGAAGAGGGACCTCTTCAGGATTTGTGCTCGTTTTCCATCGCAAGACCTATATAAGTGACCTTAGCCATTGGGATCTCAAGTTCCGCCACTAAGAAGGTTCTGGCATGGTCTACGTCTACATCCGCCTACATACGTCTCATACATACATCTACATACGTCCACGTCGGACTCCTCATGTGTTTCTGCTTGTTCAACGATACCGTGCTGCAGGTGCCATCTGCGGTCCGGTTTTGGTTCCCTTTCGCAAGCAAAACACGACCCGCGATGTTTTCCGAGTCATCCCTACGCGGCGGAGCGAATCGAGGCTTCTCCAACTACATTTACACGGACCCCAATCGGCCACAGGCGGGTGGTTGTTTTTGGGCGATGACGGATAGGCAGAGATGACGGATAGGCAGACGGTTGCAGCAAGCAGATTCCCATGGGAAGCCAGCGCTTGAAGGCGGGAAAGGACAAACCCTACGGAGATGCGTTCAGGAACCATCCAGAAACAGTTCAGGTCCCAGGTGGTTGGGCTAAAAGAAAACTATCTGAACATCACAATCCCTTTAAAAGGACTAAGTTCATTTCATTGGGGGATCTCCCTTTCGACACACCCAGTTGTTGGTCTTTCTGCATTTCGGACTCACAAGCTGCTGCAAGCGGTGCATGGGGGTTACAAAAGAGATCTCAACTGGTCAAAGTGAGGGTCGATCCTGCTGTGCTTGGCTGGAGGATCTATAGGTACGAACTCAGATCGACATGACCTCCCTTTGGATCATTCTTTGCTCCCAAAGCTCGGAGCTTCGTTCACTCCAGTTCGGCTCGCAGCTCCACGTCGCCCCGTGTTTGCAGGGGCACATCGACGCCTACGTCTGGTCTTCCGGCTTCGATGAGCGCGTGCCGCTTGGCGGAGGAGGCGGTGGGTTCGAACCGCGGCTCGCTGGAGGACCTGTTGATGTGAACCGTTGGGCCTTTTTAGTGATCAGGGCCACCAGGCGGTCTAAATGGTCACTGGGAAGCACCAGGAGGATCTTTTGGGGGAGTCCAAGCGGATCAATTTGTTGAAAGAACTGGGAGGTGACTCCACGAGAGGCTTTTGGATGACCCCCAAAAAGATTGGACCCACCCCCGGAATTTCGGGAGAGTCCAGAGGCTTCTTCAAGCTCTGTTGGTCATAGTTTGACCGAACAAATCGGTGCTTGAAGACCCGCGGTTCACCGCAGTCATCCGCTTCGTCGCTTGCTCACAAGCTGTCGTCCAAGAGGGTTCCGGGAGCCGGTTTGCAGCTGTAGCACGTCACGTCGATGTTTGACTCGGATGGGGTGCCCGAGTCGAAAGAAGGCCCAAACTTGGAACTTCCGTGACTTGACTCACGAACTACTCATGAACTACTCCTGGTAAGTCGTAATCCGCCACCAGTTTGGGGTAGTTCAGTCATTGTCCTCGACTTTCAGGGCTCTAGACCTTCCACATCATGGGGCCACTTCAAAAAGACTGAATCCTGAAAGCTGCTTGCTTTTTTGGCCGTAGCCGTAGATGTTTTGACGCACAGCCCTGGCTTGCAAGAGCAAGCCAGGGCTGGCCTCGACCAGAACGGCCTTTAACTTCGCGGAACACCGGTTCGGTGGCGTAGTCGTTGAACCAACATGGAACACACCAGCTGGTTTTGGCACTTCTTCGTAAAAGAAAGGCACATGGATGCACATGGTATGTCCAGAGATGCTTCACAGTACGGCCGGATCCCAGCCGTGAGACCGGAGCGGATTTTGGTCGCACACCTCAGATCGGGTTCGAGCACGAGTCTTTTTTTTCAGACCGGTTTGGCATGTCAGAAGGTTCCCCGTGGGTGGCACAGACCTGGTTTGCTCCACCCCTAAGAATCAAGGACCCCCAAAGGTGAAGGTTTTGAGGGTCCAAACTAAACCCCTGCGTTCTGCAGGGTCCAAACCCTCCAGAAGTGGTCGGGTCCAATGATTCTTAGGGCAAGATCTTTACTTGCCCCTCCGGGCTCCTGGCCCACCTCCGTTTCCAGACGATGGTGATGGTGGGTGCCAGGAGCCACCGGTTCCCAGAATAAATGTGGGCAAGGAGGTTTAGGGTTGGACGGTCTAGTAGTTCCCTGAAGACAAATAGAAGGCATAATCGTTTCATTGGAACTTGTTTCTTTTCGCGAGAGCGCCTGCGAAGGGTTCTTCGTAAAAAAACAGTTGCAGAACTACACGTCATCTACATCTTCACATTTTCACCTCTGCGCAATCACATTCTCACCTATATCTCTGCTCATCTTCACATCTGCACATCTACATCTCTGCTCATCTTCACATCCTCACAT